GCAAAGATGGTAGGGAATCCATTATCGACGTGACCATCAGGCGATCCGATACGGTGGAAATACGGAGGACGAAATTAAGCGAGCGGAAGTGGAAGACGAAGGCATTCAATAAGGATTTCTTCATCGAAGCTCTAAGAGTAGACAGCAGCGTCCCGGGTCTAAGTGCGAACGAGTTCACCGAATCATTAGCAAGGGCATGTGACACAACTATACCGAAAAAACTGGAGCCAACGAACATGCAGCTTCCAGCTTACTGGTGGAACGAGGAAATTAGCACCCTCCGTGCTACTTGTCTTCTAGCCAGAAGGCGTGCTCAGAGAGCAAGAACAGAAGCAGACAGAGAGGAGCGCAGGGTGGTGTTCCGAGAGGCCAGGACTGCACTGTAACGAAAGATAAAGCTGAGTAAGTAAAATAGTTTCAAGGAGCTGTGCCGCGACGCCGATGCCAACCCCTGGGGCAACGCATACCGAGTCGCGATGGCGAAGATCAGAGGTCCAACGATGCCGATTGAAATGTGTCCCAACAAGCTGAAAGTCATCGTGGAGCGACTTTTCCCACAGCATGATCCAACGAACTGGCCACCTACACCATATGGCGAGGTAGATGAAGACAACGTTGAACAAGTCTCCAACGAGGAACTCATAGCAGCAGCGAAAGGTTTGAAGGCGAAGAAAGCTTCCCGCCCGGATGGAATTCCGGCGGCGATCCAGACGTTCCCGGACATGTTCAGGATGGTGCTGCAGAAATGTCTGAACGAGGGTCAGTTCCCTTATTGGTGGAAGGTATAAAAGCTTGTGCTGTTGCCGAAGCCCGGAAAACCGACCGGGGATCCTGCATCGTATAGGCCAATATGCTTGCTGGATACTTTCGGAAAGCTCTTGGAGAGGATCATCCTGAACAGGCTGACAAAATGCACGGAGAGTGAACACGGATTGTCGGAGAGGCAGTTCGGATTCCGGAAAAGGAGATCGACGGTGGATGCAATTCTGACAGCGATTGACAGAGTCAAGAAAACTTCCAAACAGAAGCGGAGAGGAAATCGATCATGCGCCGTGATTACGATTGATGTGAAGAATGCATTCAATTGCTGGGAGGCCATCGCCAAGGCGCTTCATAGAATGAGGGTTCCAGACTACCTCTGCAGGATTCTAAGTAGTTACTTCCTGAACCGGGTCCTGGTCTACGCGACAGACACGGGGCAGAAATCGCTTAGAATCACGGCGGGAGTTCCACAAGGCTCCATTCTAGGTCCCACGCTGTGGAACGGAATGTACAATAGCGTGCTGACGCTCAAGCTGCCCGAAGGAGTTGAGATCGTTGGGTGTGCGGACGATGTCGTCTTGACGGTAACCGGTGAGACGCTGGAAGAAGTGGAAATGCTGGCGGCCGAGGCGATAGATACGATTGGTAACTGGATGCAAGGAGCGAAGCTGCAGATAGCCCACCACAAAACAGAAGTGATGTTGGTCAGTAACTGCAAAGCAGTGCAGCGGGCAGAAAGCACCGTTGGAAAGCACACCATTGTTTCGAAGCGCGTGCTGAAGTATCTAGGAGCGACGATCGACAACTGGCTAAACTTTAACAGCCACATCGAATATGCGTGCGAGAAGGCGGCGAAGGCCATCAACGCAATAGCCAGAATCATGCCGAACAATTCTGGTCCAAGCAGCAGCAAGAGGCGTCTTCTGGCTAGTGTGTCCTCATCGATACTAAGGTACGGAGGGCCAGCCTGGATTGAAGCGCTGAAAACGAAGCAGAACCAAAGGAAATTCAGCAGTACGTTCCGGCTCATGGTCATGCGAGTCGTGAGTGCGTACAGAACCATTTCGATGTAGGCTGTATGCGTTATCACCAGTATGATCCCAATCAGCATCAGCTTGGAGGAGGACTACGAGTGCTATATGACGAGAGAAACCAGAGGAGTACGAAAAATGGTGAGAACGGAATCGATGGCTAAGTGGCAGCAGGAGTGGGATGCAGTAGAGAACGGTAGATGGACACACAGGCTAATACCGATTCTTTCGACGTGGGTGAACAGGAAGCATGGAGAAGTCAACTTCCACTTGACGCAGTTTCTGTCTGGTCATGGCTGCTTCAGGAAGTACCTGCATCGGTTCGGACACACAACGTCACCCTTCTGTCCGGAGTGTGGGAATGTGGAAGAATCACCAGAGCACGTGGTCTTCGAATGTCCTAGATTTGATGATGTGCGAGAGGATATGCTCGCCCTTAGCACGGAGAATGTCGTCGAAGAAATGTGTCGAGAGGAGGGCACCTTTAATGCCGTCAGCAGAGCAGTAACGCTGATCATGTCAGCGCTGCAGCGAAAATGGCGAGAGGACCAGCTAGAAAGTAGTAATGTGCTCACACAAGTGCGAACTGAAAGCCGAAGCCGGGAGAACTCTCCGTCGGAGTAAGCTGAATCCGCCGCCGGGGATAAGCGAGTAGAGCGTGACGCTGGGAGCTAAATGGCTCACAAATTGGAGAGACGATCAGCGAACTGGAAGCGCCAATTAGCTGAGGTAAAGTGAGGTGCGTAATGCACGGCCCCCTCCGAAGTAAAACGACAAGTGGTTCCGGGGGGAAAGAGCAAGGCGTCCAAGGAGGTTTTGGTGCGGTAAGAATCCCACACACCGTGTCACCGCGACTGTGCGCCCAGTCGTCAAGCGGTGGCACGATGGCCTTTTTGAAGGTTTCCTCCTTGCCAAAAAAAAAAAAAAAACACACACACACACACACACACACACACACGCGTGCACACACACACACACACACACACACACACACACACACACACACACACACACACACACACACACACACACACACACACACACACACACACACACACACACACACACACACACACACACACACACACACACACACACACACACACACACACACACACACACACACACACACACACACACACACACACACACACACACACACAGGGCTGGGCTACAAATGGTGAGTTGACAACCGGGGAAGAGCGTTTCACCTAGCTCTGGTCCTCACAAGTTCCTACCTCACACCTCACCGTGGTGTAGCCTGGGCAATGTTGTCCTTCCGACAATAGCAAAGTGAGGGGGTGCGACGCGAACTCTGGCGCGGTAACCATAGCACGGCGATAGAGGAAATGCTTCGTCAACCCGCAGGAGTGCCAACCGGCACATTAGGATCGACGCCAGTAAGATCCTAATTCCGGCATACTGGACGCGGCATGGAATTATGGACACGACACGGCACAATGAATTGGATACCACGCTACAGGGCTGACATTCGTGCTATTCTGCTCCCTAAGTAAAGAAGGATGACACCTTGATATGGCGAGTGGGCTAATAGTGTGGCTGCCCCCGTCCCGGTAAAACCTTGGCAGGCCTCCGGAAACGTTCAAAACTCGTCACCATTTGGTGGTTGGTGAGTAGTAGGCTCAGATGTAACATTCCTGACTTACGCCGATCTGGCTCTGAACACGGCCCCCATTAAGGACCGTGTCAACCCTAGCATGGCCTCCCTGCTTGCATAGATAACCATGGAATCACGATAGGCGACCACATACAACGAGTGGAGATAGCGGCCCGGAGGGGGGATCCAACTGAATGGAGAAAAACGGAGAAAAGAATAAAAACTAAGAAAACGAGAAAACCCAAAAAAAAATATTAAGGACGATGGCAAGACGCCAGACAGTGAAAACGGAGGAGCGAACTACTGTTGAACCTGAAGGCCACAGCGAGTTCCAGCAGCAGCAGTAAGCCCCAAGGTGAGCAGCAAGAACACCAAGGAGAGCTAGATCTTATGCTAAACCAGATATTCACACGGAAATCCAGCAGTAGCATACCCCAAGAAGGATTGCAGGGAAGACCAAATTAATGGAGGTCAGAAGGAGGATCAATGAACTCCATGACTTCGTCAAGGATAAGAGCAACGCCATGATTGCTGCCGAACGTGAACAGGATGTGCTGAGGACTAGATCCATGACTGCCGAATGGGCGCTGATCGAGGCCAAGGAGAAAGCAGCAGCTGAAATACAGGAGACGCCAACTAAAAAGCTCATCAATCAATTTAGATTTTTCTGCATAATTTTCAATTTTATTTAATTGACGTTGCCTAATATTGAATATAAGTTGTCAATCATACCAATCATAGGGTTGGAACGATTGTTGTCCTTAACTTGAAAGTCACAGTTGTTATGAACTAAGTGCTTATCAATCAATTTTTTTTTTAATTTTTATAAAATGTTTCCAATGTTAGAATTTAACGATTTGCTATGAAGTGGAATAAAAAATGCCTACATTTAGGCGCGTTTATCAATTTCACCCAATATCTATATTTTACAATTTGAGATTTCGAAAATGTCCAAAAACGATAGCATCATAGCCTATTGATTGTATTACCATGAGTTTGTAAATTTTCTCTCATGTTAGAGTTAATTTCCATATTTACGTTTTGTGCGATAAATTTGCTCCCAAATTGCGGTATTTAGTTTAGAGTTGCGTTTATTCTCTGCTACATAAAACAATACAATTCAGTAAAAATTGAAAAGGGATTGGAAACATCCATGACTCATGCTTACATTTAGCTTCAATATTGTCAAGACGTCAATGTTTCAAAATCAATCTTCTGAAGAAAAATACTTTCGATGTTCAGCAAATAAAAAGATTTTTTACCTTAACTCAAAAATTACTGACCTCAGATGCTCAGATTGCTCAGATATATTGGCAGATCGAAACTTTATGGTGAAACGTAAAATGAAATAATTTGCATAAGCAGAAAAAATATGATATATTAAAAATCAAATACATCAAATATTTGCTCATCCTCCAAGTAAATTGCCCCTTTTGCTCCTCCTCGAATTCGACCCTGCTTCAGACATCGCTGCATTGCTCCGCATCTCATCGCCAGTATCCGCAAATCATAACAGAACATAAATTGATAAGATTTACAACTGTTCCGTCCAGTTCAGTTGGTCTGTCCCTTTTCGATCTGATACTTACTGTTCCGTGTCGAGCGTGTACTTATTCCGCACGGTTGCATAGATCGATATGAGCGCCACCGGAAGAATCCAACCGACGGTGAAAAACCAACGCATTGCTATTGCATCTTTGATGAAAACCTACGACGGGGGAGAGATACGAAAAGAAAAAGGAAAAAATGTTAGGAATTCGATAGGATATTTCTCCCCGGTTGCCATTACGCCGGGTTCGTTCGTTCACGCAAACATGGGAAAGAGGTAGCTGCTGTACCTACAGGAAATTGATTGACAATATTTAAACCTCAACATTTACCATTTGACCACATATTTGCCATCCTGTGGTTGTGGGTGGTAGGTTGGAGAGATATCGCACATTCTCCGTCTGGAAAGAGGGTGAAACAGAAAGGCCTCAAAAATGTTGCCTGCTTGTTCATAGTTTCTTCATCGGTCACCCACCCACCACCCCACATCCGGGGCCTGCTAAAGATGCAAAGCATTTCGTCCACCACCTACCGGTCGACGACGTCAGCTTCCTTGTCAAACGGCAAACTGATGACGACGCTTCCGACCACAGACCGCCACCGGTCGGTCGATGACTGTCCGCTTTTTTTCCCCCGTTGAGCAAAACTCAATATGAGGAAGTGGCCCTTTTTTTCAATCATCAATATACGAGTGGGTAACAGCAGGAAGGAGAAATAGAAAGTAGCAACAGTTTCCGCCTGTTAAACTGATCACAGCGCAATGCAATTTTACCAGGTATGATGCACTAGACTGCAGGTGACCATTGTCAATGCAAACTGAAAGCCAACCTGTCGTCGAGCTACGGGATGAAACCAAATGGCTTGTGTGTGTGTGTGTGTGTGTGTGTGTGTGTGTGAGCGAGGCTTATCGTGTCTATTGGAGATAAAGCATATGTGCGTATTAGACTGGCCCACATTAATATGGGGGAATTTTTTTTTATCATTTTTTTTCAACGGGCCAAACACCTATATTTGTGCCATTAGGTGAGAAAACTACTCTCTGAAAGTTTCAGCTCATTCGGATGTAACACGAGCTGGCACTTTTGATTTAAAATTTATCTGGGGATATTGGTTGAAATGTATGGAGAAATAACATTCCTTCACTCTTTCGTGCATATAACTGGTTCAGCAAACTCGATTAAGCTCAGAATTTCAGCACATATAGCTTAAACTATAAGGAAAACATTTGTTGAATACAGCATAACGATTCAAGTAAGTATTATGGAGATATTAATTAATTATGTGCATTCTGCTCGTATATTGCATCAAAATACAGGCAGCTTATGCAACGTATCAACTAGATTAACACTAAAATTAAAAGTTCATGTCTTTTGGTGCGATAACCACTTTCTGAATATTTCAGCTCTTTTTGACGTTACACGGGCTTACGCTTTTGGTTTAAATTTTCATAAACAAAATGCTCATATTTGTGGAATGTGTGCTTGACTTCCACGTTCAATATCGCCTTCTTGAATCGTGCGACGTGCCGATTCAGCTCGTTGAGGTACGGACTGTTATCCTCGATCAGCGGAAAAACGCACCTGAAGATGTTTGTTATGTGCGTTGGAAACACTCCCGTTCTCCTGCACCTGAGAAGGAACTCTGTGCGGTGCACATGTAAACGGAACCGGGGCGAAAATTAACTAGGACGGTCCAACTTGGCAAACCAACAAATTCCCAACCTACAGCGTCGGGGATAAAGGCAATAGGGTGTCCGGTAGGGAAGTCGAACCGGTATTCACACTAGATTACCACGGGTGGGGTCCAGTTGTGAATCGGATCGATCGGACGGGACGCTATTGACCTTCCTGTTGGCTCCAGGTGCAACGGCTAGAATGTGGACTGTATGGCAGCGATTATCAACAGCAGCGATCGTGTGCTCCAGTGGCAATGGACATGAGGATGAAATTATGCTCGTTTGGTGATGGATGAAATTAATTTATTTGATGTTTCTCGTTCGGCAGTTACAATAATAGTGATGCGCTTCGCGCGAAATGGTTTGCTTTTATACATTTTTATTCTCTGCATTCGTACCGCTGTGTAAAGTTGACTTCTCGTTCTTGCGTGGAATTGACGATACTGGGAGGAGTCTGCTTCGCTTCACAACAGTGCAAATCGTTTATGTAGGGGAGTGTAGGGAGAATTAATAATAGATTAAACGTTCGGAACCGAACATTCTCCCGCCGGCATGTTATGTGGGTCTGTAGATGCTAGAGCTTGATTGTTCTCTTCAATGGGAAGTGGTGCGACTTTAGAAACTGGACGACGGTATACCCCAGCAGATGTTTGCACGTCTACTACTCTAACTACTGAATCCTTGCCAGGATAAACCTTCAAAATCCTGCCCAATTTCCATGACTGTGGAGGTAAGTTATCTTCTTTAAGAAGGACAATAAGACCAGGGACAACGTTACAAGAGCTCTTCTTCCATTTGGTGCGAGCTTGTAGCGTATTGAGATATTCGGATGACCAACGTTTCCAAAAATGTTCTCGAAGTGACTGTAAGTATTTCCAACGGGTCAAACGGTTTACAGGGATTCCCTCAAGAGTAGGTTCAGGAATAGCAACCAATTCTCGACCAATAAGAAAGTGGCCGGGTGTTATGGCAGATGGTTCATGGGCGTCTAACGAGTTAGCGAAAAGTGGACGTGAATTGAGTACTGCTTCTATCTGCGTGAGAACAGTGTAGAATTCTTCGAAATTGAGAGAGGCATTGGTCAGAATTTTACGCAAATGGGTTTTTGTACTCTTCACCCCAGCCTCCCACAATCCTCCAAAATTGGGTGACCGAGGTGGAATGAATTTCCAAACAATTTCGCGGGCACAACAGAACTCATTGATTTTTCCTTTCGCTTGATCATCACGGAACATCAAAAAAAGTTCGTGAAGATCGGATTTAGCACCAGCAAAATTTGTGCCATTGTCGGAATGGATTTCTTCCACTAATCCCCGACGGCTGACAAAACGCTGTAATGCAGCTATAAAAGCTACTGACGACAAGTCGGAAACTAATTCCAAATGAATTGCTTTGGTAGCAAGGCAAATGAAAATACAAATATAGGCTTTGTTCGAACGGTTTTTCGTAGACCGACCCTTATGAATATCGGTCCAGCAAAATCTACGCCGGTGTGAGAGAATGGAGTGGAAGGAACAACACGTGCTTCGGGCAAACTACCCATCAAAGGCTGTAGAAAACGAGGGCGAGAACGGAAACATGTCACACATTTTCTCAATACCTTACGAATGGTAGACTTAGCGTTGATTAACCAAAATTTCTGACGTAAAAGCGACATTAATCCAGACGGTCCTAGGTGAAGATTTTCCAAATGCATATCACGAATGAGAAGTTCACTAACTATGCTCTTATTTGGAAGCAAAATTTGATGACGAGCTTCATACGGCAAACGGGAGTTATCCAACCTACCACCAACTCTTATTAAACCGTCCACAATAATAGGATCCAGCATCGCAAAACGACGACTAGGCTTTCCTGACGAAATAAGGCCTTTTTCGTCCGGCATCTCAAGACGTTGAACTAACCCAATCACAACAACCATCGACCTTCGCAATTCGGGAACAGTCAAATGAACGGAAGACACACGGTTTGCACGGTTTGATCTGCAATTGTACGCAAAGCGTAATACATAACCAATCACTCTTTGCAATTTTCGAAATGAGCCGAAAGCTTCAAGAAACGGAACATCTTGCAGAACAATGGTAGCAGAGACTACTGGAATGCTCGGACAGAAATCGGGTAAATCAGATTCTGGGAGTAGATCCGGAGTTGCGAATTCACACTGACGCATTTTCAGAAATGATGGCCCACACCACCATAAATCATTTACTGCAAGATACTGTGGCAGCTGTCCTCGGGACACAATGTCGGCTGGGTTTTCGATAGAACGAACGTAATGCCAGGAATAATCGACGGTTGCAGTATTGATGTCCGTTACACGGTTGCGGACGAAGACTTCAAGCTGGCTGGAAGACTTTTTCAACCAGGCGAGTACAATACGACTGTCGGACCACAAATACACGCGATTTATGTCCATTTTTAACGACGAGATGCATTTGGGAACCAATTTTGACAACAATAAGGCGGCACATAATTCCATTCTAGGGATCGTCAAAGGTTTCAAGGGAGCAATTCTTGATTTACTGCATAGCAACGAAATTTTTACATCGGTATCAGAAACAACTCTCAAATAAACAGCTGCTCCGTAAGCACGGTTGGAAGCGTCAGCGAATCCATGTATTTCGACGAATTTAACGTCCGTCAATCCCACGTAGCGGGGAATCTTGACCATATCAATATACTTCAACGAATCTCTAAACGTAAGCCAAGATTGCAAAACTTCACCTTCCAATGAGTCATCCCAACCCAAACCATCTTTCCACAAACACTGCATGATTTCCTTTGCCAAAACAATCACCGGAGCAATAAGACCCAAAGGATCAAATATTCGAGCAATCTCAGAGAGGACAACTCGCTTGGTTGAGATAGGCGACGACTGTAACTTCAATTCACAATGGAAACGGAAAATATCCTCATCTGGATCCCATAATAGACCCAAGGTTTTGATAACCATGTTGACATCTGAATCCTCAAACTCTAAGAACCTTTCTCGGTCTTCCTCAGGTACTGTATCGAGTATGGCTGGGTCACTTGCACACCATTTATGAACAGGGAAGCCTCCAGAGTTCAACAAGTTTGTCAACTCCAAACGAAGATCAATTGCCTGCTCGATAGTATCAGCTCCTGATACCACGTCATCCATATAAACATCCTCTTCTAAAACCTTGGAAGCTATTGGAAAATGGTGAGATTCATCACGGGCTAACTGCAACAATGTTCGTGTGGCCAAGAATGGGGCACTGGCTGTTCCATAAGTAACGGTTGTCAACTCTAGGATCTGAAGTGGGTCATCAGGGTTTTCCCTCCAATAAATCCTCTGAAGGGGAGAATGATCCTCAGCTATCTTGATTCGCCTAAACATTTTTGAAACATCAACCTTTAATGCAAAACGGTGTGTACGGAACCACAGGTTTAGTGAAAAAATGTCGGGCTGAACTGTCGGACCAATCATCAAAACGTCATTAAGAGATGGACCAGTTGTTCGA